CCCCCCCTATTTTTAATTAATTAAAAAAGCTTTCTTTTTGGTAAGTGTTTTACGGTGCTCGCAACTGCATAAGGTCATGTGAGCGCGGGGAACACACCTAACATTTTCAGTTGGTAGGAAATTTTGAATTTTGCCCGGGTGGCGGCCGAAGACTACTCTTATCGATTTAGAACTACCAAGTGATCTTTATCGTGAGCAACTTGCACACGGGACCTCCGAGTTTTTCACCCTTGTCCGAGAAGGCTAGGTGTAGATCTTTCCTACCAGAAGATCAGGGGTGTGGCTGCTAGACAGATGTAAGAAGGAGCAAAGGAGAAGCAGGGGAAAGGTTCCAGAAAGAGTCAGGAGCCCGGAGGAGGGGGCAAAGGAGGTGAGGGCGTGGGGGCAGAAAGTGGAGATAAAAGCAGACGACGGAACATTGCTAGAGAGCAGGAAAGGAGGCGAAAGGAGAATATTTTAGAGAAGAAAATTTTTCGGTCGCTACCCGGATTCGAACCCGGGACCTTTGAAGGAGAGGCGAACACCTTAACCTCTAGGCCACGAGAGCCCCCAAAATAACTTTTGTCAAAATATGCTCATCACCACCTCACCCCAATTTCGTATTCCTTTGCCTACCCTAACTTATGCACCCTCAAGGGTCTCCAAGAGCAAATTGAAAAGGCATATTTGGAGTTATTATTATCCATTTAAACACTCAGAAGTTCATTTAAAGTAATAATTTTAATACAACCCGGGACTGAAATTTATTCACTTACGCGTGGACGACATTTAAACTTATAAAGATTTCATTGTAATACGTCTTTAATGCGTTCAAGTTTCGTGGGAATATATGTATTATCATCATGTAACACACAGCGAACGAAGCCCAACCATCTTTGCCCCAACGGCTAGAGGGGGTTATTTTTACTCTCATCAATAGTTGGAGGCTGGTGCTGGAGGATCCAAGCAGCGACATTAGTTAGTGGCTACCATGACTACTGTTATAGCCGTGACTGTAGGAGGAGGTGAGCGATCGATAAAGTACAAGGCCGGCCAGCTGCGTGCGTGAACAGTGAACAATAAGCAGCAAAGGTTCAAATCCTGCAGGGTTCCGTGTTTCGAATATCTCACCTTCGTATTATTTTATTTTCTCTCAACCAGCTGCAGGAGGGAACACTGCATTGAGATTGAATTTGAAATAAAAAAGAGGCGTGTGTGTGTATGTGTGTGTGTGTGCGTGTGCGTGTGTGTGTATGTG